TAGCAGTTGATCACTTCTCTGTCTCTCTGCTCCTAAAATCCCCAGGGACTGTTTATATCTGCCTTCTTTTAAAAGAAGTTCTAGCTAGAAGGTGAAGGGGGTTCCAATGTTCTGGGGACAGTGGAGTGAAAAGATCACTGACTCCCGCCCCACCCCACCCCCTCACCCCCGACATTCTGAAGCCACCTTGTCTATTTTTCCGCTGATCCTCCTGAGAAGGCCTTTCTGGCTTGTGCCTGTCGGTGACAAGGAGAACTGCCATGGACGCTAAAGTGCACAGTCTGCCCGTTGGAAGGCCAACGCTTGGAGAGCTTGACCAGAAGTCGTTTCCAGGACGGTGGCCTCAGCAAAGAACCAGTGCTACTCTCTGGCTCAATTCCTGTCCCTGGGACACAGACTCATAGCCTGCGGAGGAGAAAGGTGACCCGATTTCACAGGCGAGGACACCAGAAAATGGGCCTTGCCAAGGCCACGTGCCTTGTGAATGGAACAGTCAGCCCAAGAAACCAAGTTCAGGTCCCTTTAGAGCCCGATGCCTGATCCTCTTGATTTGGAGGCAGGGAATGCAAATGTTAAGCGTTACATCCTTTCCTTTCCCCACCTCTTGCTCTGTCTTCACCTTCATGCATCAATCTTTACGGAGTTAGGCCCCTGCACTTCCATCGTCCGCTTGGCTACCTCGTCTGACCTTGCTCGGTGTTTGCTATTGCTTGGTTCACCCACAGACCACCAATGAGTCAGTGCCAACACAACTCATGTCAACACAAAGTCGACCTGCCCCACAGGCGGGCAATCTTAAAAGAAGCAGCGTGGCTGGTCGACTTGAACCACCTTCATCTCCTCTGTTAGCAGCGAGATGCTTAGTCCACCGTGTCACCAGGGGTCCTTCACTTGGTTAGGAGTCGATAAAATAAAATGGAAGACGGTTCGTCAGTGTTGGAGGATGAGTGCTTGAAGAATGGTTGGGCAGCTCCAGCTTTTCCTGAGCGCTTCTTCCCCTGGCGTGCCAGTAATCTGTATGGAGTCCTGAGAAATCTTAAAAATCAAAGATGTCATCAGTCTCCTCAGCCCTGAGACCAGAAGAACTATAGGATGCCCAGAACCCACTTCCAATTGCTCCGAAAGGGATCACACTAGAAGATCTTGGATAGAAAGAGGGGGGGTGGGGGGTGGGAGGGGTGGGGGAGGTGGCACAAAGCTCACAATCATAAAAACGTCAGGCTTATTGGTGGAACAGAAACAGGTAGAACCCCAGGACTATGGCTCTTCGTCACCCTTCCGGTCTGGAAATGAACTCACCCAAGTGGCTCAATTTTCAGTCAAATGACAGACAGACCTATACGGGGACAGTAACACTAGTGAGGGATGCACAGCATAGAATAACCAACCATTCAAGATACAAGGGCCGGCATTGACCCCAGGACAACGTCCAGGAGGAGGAGGAATGGGAACCGGAAACACGGAGGAAATGGGACAGGTGGTGTTACGTTTGCGGGATGACAAGCAATGAAAGGAAATAAAACGGATCTGCTCTGTGAACTTTCACTCAGTTCACAGTGAAAGGAGGTTTTGTTTTCTTTTGAAGTTGTTTTTCTTCTTTTTTATAAAAGTAGAGATGTCACTGTGACTAGCAGGGTGGGCCTGGCACATGCCCTGGTGTTGTCAATCACCTCCTATGCATGTGAAAGCTGAACAGTGAAAATGGAGAACCAAAGAACGGATGCCTTTGAATCGCGGTGCTGGCAAAGAACATCCGGGGAGCCTGCGCTGCCAGAAGAACCAGCCAATCTGTCTTGGTAGATGTACAGTCAGAATGCCCCTAGAAGAGGGGATGGCAACACTTTGTCTCACATACTCTGCCCACCTTCCCAGGGGAGACCAGTCCCTG